CTGCCCGCCGCGCGCGGGGCCCAAACCTTCGGTTGGGCATGTCCCCCCACAGTCGGCTTTTGGGCGAAAAATGAAAAAATGATTAAAACATATTCAGAATAGTCTGACCTGAGACTAGAAAATCGTCCCACGACGATTTTTAAACTATTTTTGGATATTCCTCCTGTAGAGGGACAGGCCCGACTTAACCCACCCCTCGGGTGTCTCGAAAGCATATCGATATTCCCCAATCAGTGCTTGCACTGAAGGGGTCCTAGCGGAAGTGCAAAAATTTGGCGAACGCTTCCCGCCGACTTTGGTGGCCGGCTGGGTTCCAAGGCTCCCGGTTCTGGCTCCTGGGCTCCCGGTCATTGGTTCCGGTTCGATGTCGGTGGGTTCCAGGTTCCCGGGTTCCAGGACGATCTCCAGACCGATCTCTTTATCGATCCCATTTCAAACCAGATATCCTGATCTCTTTATCGATCTCTTTATCTCCCGTTTTCTCTTTTATCGATCTCCTGATCTCTTTCTTGATCTCTTTTGGTTTTTTTCTCTGGTGTAATCGGATGTCTGCTCTTCTCGGGGCCTGGCGGACCGCCAAGGCCAGCTCGGAGCGCAGAGGTGCTCCCAGGGCAGGGGTCGAGAGCTCCGGGGCCAGGCGAGAAACGAAACTGTCAGACACGCGGGCCCCATGTGCGAATCTCACGTCGAGCGCATCACGTCATGAGCATCTGGGAACGGGCGGATGTGAGTATCCGCCGACCCTGCCGGCGTGCGTGATGGGGAGGGAGCCCGGGGTGGTCGTCCAGGGCTGGTCCTCGGAGATGCCTTCCCATTCGAAGTAAGCCCCCGCTTCCCTGCGGCCACCTGGGGCTCTGCAAGCTCGCCAGTTCGAGGTGAATCGACCCAGGTCGTAACCGAGCCGCTGGAAGACGCTGGGCGATGGCGCTGGGCGAGCTAGCAAGCCGCCAGCCAGGTGTCACGCCGCTTCCCTTGGATCCTCCCCGCCTCCCTGGAGTTGCTCGGGCGATCTTAGGGCCAGGTTAGCTTGCCTGGGGCCACCGAAGCACGCTACAGCCCTCTAGGAGCCAGCTAAGACCGCCTCGGGTGGCACCCAAGACGGGCCCAAGAGGCACCAACGACGGCTCAAGAGGGGGCCTCAAGTCACGCCACTGCCGCACCGCTGAAAGCCAACCCTTCCAACATGGTCGCAAGACACCCCAAGAGGTCCCCTGCGGCCCCAAGTCTCACCCGAGTGGGCCACATAGGCCCTAAGGAGCCCTCCAAGAAGCCCCCAAATGCAACCCCTCAAAAACCCAAGGCTTCTGGATCACAACTCAGCCCCAAGTGGCGGGATGGGCCGAGGACCACTACTAGGGGAACGAAAAATGACATAAACATAAAAACTCAGAGGTCCGCCCGGATTTCTCGGATCCGCGCTGGAGCCCCCTGGCGGCGCCTCCGGCGCCGCCCCTGGCGCGCTCCGCGCGTCAGGGAGGGGGGTCCAGCGCCGATCCGACAAATCCGCGTGGACCTCCGAGTCATGTTTATGTACTTTCGCGTTCCCCTACCCTTTCGTCCTCGCATTATAAACGCCAGTGCCTCCTTTCCTGGACCCCGTCCACCTCTCAAGCCCAATATTTGCAGGTCGGCGGAGCCAGCCGCAAGGCCGAATGGACCTCCTAAAATGACGGATTGAGGATGAGTAGTCGAGTAAATCCCCCCATAATTACTAGAAAACAGCCAGAACATCGTCCCCATGTGCAGACTATTTTGTCTATTTTTGAATATTCCTCTTGTAGAGAGACACGCCCGACGGAAATCTAAATATTGGAGGGTCCGCGCGGAAGGTTTTTTAACGGGCGAAGGCCGGTATGAAACAAACTTTTCCGTCACAGGAGGAGCCTGTCCCAGGGGCGGCTGGAAAGTTTACACCCTTACGGTGGAACGTCAAAGTATAAACTTTCCAGCCGCCCCTGGGACAGGCGCCCCCGGTGACGGAAAAGTTTGTCTTATACCGTTCTTCGCCCGCTAATAAACTGAAGAAACTGACAATGAGTTGGCCTAGGTGCGAAAATGAGCAAACGATTACGAGTGACTGGGTATGCGTGGCGACAAGTATGGTGGTACGAGGCATGTGTGGGTGTGAACACGAGAGGCATGAGTGAGATTGAATACGGGTGGCTGTCTAAGAATGAATACAAATATAATGAATCCACGTATATGTGACCGGGGCAGAACGGCTCTCATTGACTGCAGGGGAGTCAGGGCACGAGCGAGTCTGAGTTTGAGCTGTGCACAGACCTCGGTGTTTCAACTCTTTCAAAAACGAATCAACCACTTGATCGACACTTGCGTTCGCAGTTGTTTCAGCACCGAAAAAACGGCGGCACAAATGCCCCCGCGGGGCGGGGGGGGGAAGCCGAGGGGGGCGGGCGAGGCGAAGGAGGAGGAAAAGGGGGAGGAGGATGAGGACGCGGGGTGGCTGGCGGAGCAACGCCGCGAGAAAAGAGGAGGGGCGACGGCGATGCGGAATATCAGGAAAAGGAGTGGGGAAACGAGGGCGAAAGAGAAAGAGGAGGAAGGGGGGGACAAGGGGAAGGCGGGGCAGGAAGAGACAGGGGAGGGGGGGGCGGCGAGGGGGGGGATGGGGGAGGAGGGGGACTTCGATTTGGTCCAGCATTTCAATCATTCCTTCTCCTCCCCGCCTTCTCTTCTCCTTATCCCGCCCCTCCTCCTCCTCCTCCTCTCCCGCCCTTTTTTCCCCCCTCCTCTTCCTTATCTTCCGCGTCGCCGCCGCCCCTCCCCTTTTCTCGCGGCATTGCTCCGCCAGCCACCCCGCATCCTCATCCTCCTCCTCCTTCTCCTCCTACTTCGCCTCGCCCGCCCCCCTCGGCGTCCCCTCCCCCCTGCCCCGCGGGGACATTTTTGCCGCCGTTACATTGCTGAAACAACTGCGGACGCAAGTGTCGGTCAAGTGGTTGATTCGTTTTTGCAAGGGTTGAAGCACCGAGGGAGGGGGAAGGGGAAGAATTTTGGGCCCCCGGGGCCGTCGAAAACGGATCCGGGATGAGAACGTGCCCCTGGGTCTCAGGCCCCCCGTTCAGCCCAGGATGGGCTCCAAGAGGGCCCCAGATAGCCCTAGATCGATCGAGGTCAGCCGTAGCGGGGTCCAGGTTGGGGGTCGTAGTGGTGCTCTGGGCCGGCTCGGATTTCGGAGTGCTTGGACCTTGGGCCCCTGGGGGGTCGGAAGGGGGTTTACGTGCGGCTCTTGGCCCCGATCGTCGCGAATCGATCCTCGATCCGAGGGTCGAGTCGGGGGTCGGGGGCATTCTCCTCCTCCTGGACCTCCTTCTCCTCTTCCTCCTCCTCCTCCTCCTGGTTGCTCTTCTGTCACGGTACGGCGCCGCGGCAGGGGAGGGGGAGGAGGAGATGCATTGTTGCATTGCCGGGGGTGATCGGAGCAGGAAGAGGGGGAAACACGGGGGAGAAGGCGATCCCCATCCGCCCATCTGGGCCCATCCTCCCCCCCGCCTCTTCCCGCTCCTTCCTTGCCTCCGTCGCCCCGTGCGCCCCCCTTCCTCTCGCCCGCGTCCTCACTTTCGCACCCCTTCGCAATCACTCATTACAAATATCTCTCCGCTCTCCCCTGACTGACTGCGCCCCCTTCGCGTGCTGTGTTTTTGCGCGCGGGGGCCCGCTCCTTCCGAATGGGATAAGCATCGCCCTAAAATGGCTCTAGACCGGGCGAACTGGATTCCAGTTCGCGCCAAAATTGCTCCGGATCCCGCCGAAATCGGGCGAACTGGATTCCAGTTCGCCGGTTTTGGGTAGCAGCTCCCCGGTTTTGGGTAGCAACTCTCAGAGGTCCGCGATGTCCACAAGACCTGGGGCCCCGCGTTGCCCAAGATCGCCCGCGGCAGGGCGACTTCGAGTGAATCGGGACCTCGATCCCATTTCGGTGGCCCTTCGGGGGGGTCCACGAGGGCCTCGGGGCGCCCAGAATGGGCCCCGAAAGGGCCCCTAGTAGCCCAGGGTCGTTCGAAATAAAGCGAACGGGGACCCAGGTCGGCATGGTCGGGGCCCCCGCTGGGTCCTGGGCGGCATGCGCTCACGATGGGTGGATTCGGAAGGGCCCCCCAAATGGGCCCAAGATCCCATGAGAGAGGGCGGGCAAGCTGGGCACCCCGCTCGCTGTTTCTCAGGCTTGCGGGGGGTCGCGCCCAAAGCGGTGCCCAAAGCGGTGCCCCAGGGGCATCGAAGAGTCGACGTGGGGTTCTGCTGAACTTCGGGGTTCCGACTCTCGGAACCCCGAAGTTCATGTTTTTTTTGGCCCCGGGGGGGGCGCCGGCGGCGGCGGGGGCCTGGGGTTCCGAACCCCGAAGTTCAGCAGTTCAGCGTGAACTGCTGAACTCCGGGGTTCGGAACCCCGAGGCCCCGCCGCCGCCGTCGTCGTCGTCGTCGCCCGCCGATGTGGCTTTGGCTGGCCCCCAATAGCTCCAGATCCCCACGGGATCGAGCGAACTGGATTCCAGTTCGCCCTGAAATGGCTCCATATCCCCCCGAAATCGGCTCCATATCCCCCCGAGATCGGGCGAACTGGATTCCAGTTCGCTTCAAAATGGCACCCGATCCCCCCGAGATCGGGCGAACTGGATTCCAGTTCGCACCGAAAGGGCCCCAGATCCCTCCGAGATCGGGCGAACTGGATTCCAGTTCGCCCCGAAGTGGCCCCATGCCCCCCCGAGATCGGGCGAACTGGATTCCAGGTCGCCTCAAAATCGCTCCATATCCCCCCGAGATCAGCTCCATATCCCCCCGAGATCGAGCGAACTGGATTCCAGTTCGCCTCAAAATGGCCCCCGATCCCCCCGAGATCGGGCGAACTGGATTCCAGTTCCCACCGAAAGGGCCCCAAATCCCTCCGAGACCGGGCGAACTGGATTACAGTTCGCCCCGAAGTGGCCCCATATCCCCCCGAGATCGGGCGAACTGGAATCCAATTCGCACCAAAATTGCCT